CAAATGACCGACAGCGGTTCATTTAAAATTTCGGCTCCAGCCACTTTCCTACATGTTAAACACATTACCACTACCATACGGTTTTGACCAACCATTAGCCATGGCGCTATCAACGGATATGCGCCTTCAACTAAGTGAAATGCAGGAACCAGACAATGCGCACTTGAAGATAGGTAATGAGAGTCAGCGGCATTGTAAAATAAGTAAATTTTCAGACGTGATTTCACTAGAATCGACAATCATTGTCTAACACGAAAGTCCAGGTGATTGTCCCCAAGAATGATAATGATCATGATTAAATGCAAATTGGAGAGAACACGTAGTTTGCGCATAAATCCGTGTACATATTTTAAACCCTCAGATTGCAAATCGGGTAGAACTGGGGTAAAGATTTCTGCAAAATTTGGCTGTTGTGTGTTGACGCACAAATATTTGCTGCCATTTTTACTATTACAAGCTCGTATATGCGCTGTTTTGCCGTCCTTCTGCCACTAATGGCAGTCTTTTGTATCCACCTGTGTGTACAAAATCACTATCAAAGTGATTGGCAGAGCGCAGATGGCGTAAACTAACACCCAGTTGAGTCAAAACAAAGTAACTGCAGATTGACACAACATTGTTAATGCGGTTATGTCGGCACACGTACAGCTGCATGACCGCTGTATATAAATTCGAGAAAAAAATGTGGGATGGCGTGAAGTGGGCTTGTTTGTGCTGACATCAGTTAAGTGAAAAGATAGCATTTGCTATTGATTTGTTGCAGATTTATTATTCACCTCTTCGTAGACCAATTTCTTTAAACGATGCTTTTTAAAATTATATTTCAATCATTTCAAGTTCTAATTTGCTTTCAAAGAAAAAAAATTTTTTTTGTGAACAGTGGTGGTGTTTTATGTGCGAATTGAATGTATGCGATGTAAAGCTACACCAAATGGAATTGTAAACATTTTCAACTCAAAATCGATGTGTGCATTAAATGTATTCAGCAAATTCCTGACAAATTTGGCATTAGGTCAAATGAAATTTCGGTTATTTTAAAGGAAGAAATAGCAACAGGGAGATATAATGCATTTAAAATGAAAATTACAGCAGCTGCACTTGGTTAAATGTGGCGGCTGTCATTTATAGCGTATCAAAAATGCATTTATGTGTATGCAAGACATGTCAAACCTGCATGGATTCACTCGAAGCAAACAGTACTAATGTTGTGGCTAGTAGGGAGCGTATTTTGGATATTAAAAGAACTTGGTATGATTCGCCTGTTTGAAAGTACACAGAAACATGCATTTTCACCGGATACTAGAGTTACATTTTATGCGAAGTTAACCGAAAGACGCATTATTATTAAACCACTTGCAATTCCGCACCGCGCTGACCGCAGACGCAGTTGTGTTGATTGAGCATAAGTCACGATTTTTGCTATTTCACCAGTAAGAAATCAGTGCTGGTTGCAAACAAGACAACATTCGACAACACAATAAATCGTTAACAATCCTAAACGTCACAATCGTTAAATCTTTAAATTTTGCACAGCGTCCTATCAATTATACGTCGCCTGCTCATCCTCTACCCACCAATTAAAAGTGACTAAGACTCAAGGCCAGAGTGAGCGGGTTTCAAATATAGATGAAAAGTGTGTATAAACTGATCTATTTGTACACCTTATTGCAGTGTGTTAAAACGCACTGGATTTAGCGAGGATCGATTTTATTGTGTAGAAATTTTGGTTCCCAAGTGGCCCCTGTATGGTTTAGCCTGACTTTACCTTCTACTAACAAACGCAATCACACGAATATTATTGGTTGTGGTTGAAGGCCACAATTAATTGTCATGTCCAAAGCCGTTAATTGGAGAAACGGTTACCTGCTTTTTCCTTGCACACACGAGCCATCGCAGTGGTATCATGAATAACTTTAATGACACGTCAAGTAGCATTGGTCATGATAGAAGTGGCTTTGATGCTATCTGTGGCAATGATGTTGGTGGTTCTTACGTTGACTGTTCTCATGGTGGCAGCTGTAGCTGCGAGGAAATGCGCTCCGAGATGAAGCGATACGACCATTGGCAAACTGCCATGTCAAAGAAAGTGACCACGGAGAACCAAACCCATGAGACGCTGCTGTTGTTCATCTTGATGTTGTTGTGAGTTGCGAGTGGCCGGACGTGGCGGCGCGCGTCCGTGATCCAGCTAGATGGAGGCCAGGTGGCGGAAACCGTCGTGGTTCTCGTGGTCGTCACTAATAATGCAGCGAGGCCTTGCCAAGTGTGTTTCCTTTGTAGCCAATAAGGTGTGTGTGTGCTTGCACGTTCACCGTTACGTGATTAAAAGGCAGCAAGGGGGTCGCGTCGATCTCCTACATTGGTGACAGCGGTGAGCTGCACTGCACTGCGGGCCACGAGGAGCTCCATAAATGGCGTGTACCTGCTGCGTGGTGACTGAAGCCATCGGTGGATGCCACCTTTTTTTCTCTATAATTTTTGCTATTACACTCAAAATTGGTTCTTGTAAATCCAGGACAGATCAATTTGTAATGTTGTGGGCCCCAGCATGTGGTACTGAACCACGCCGGGGCCACTGCATTAACCCTGGCCTGATTACGATTGCCTGATGCCCGCGATGAAGAAGAAGACCGGAGAGGACGATACACAACCGTTTACTTCGGAGATCAACCAGACTGGTGTCGTCGTGTCGGGTTTGCGCGTGTGTATTTATACCTCGGATGCGTGAGTCATAGATGCGCTAACATCGAGATCTAGGTGTGAGCTTAATCCAAGTTACATATATGTGTGAATGATGGGGGGTTGAGGATTTGAAGCGGTTGTCGCCATGATTCGAGAAGGGGAGACTTGTATCGGAGGCGAAACGATCGGATTAAGGAGTTAAATAAACACGATTCACAACAGTAAAATATGTATTTTACGAACCGGAGAATTATGAAATTCATTTCTACGAATTGTGAAAGTGGAAGATGACTACAGTCATTCAGGCGTTTATATTTGAAGTAATCAAATAAAAGGAAATGCAGACAATAAACTGTTCTCATACCAGGATTTGAATATCGTTTTTGACACTAATGCACCCTTTTTTGTACACAAACAGAAAACAGGACTGATTATCAACTTTTGTTAGAGATAAATGTCTGTTCTGGAAATGTCAACCAATGTTTGTGTGAGCTGAAAACCTACATTCGTCATGCGTAAATGTCCTACTAAAATCAGAACGCTATTATCCTCCACGACGCCACTCTAATTCACGTCAAGAAGACGGCTGTCGTGTGTCCATTTGATGCTATCCGGATTGAGATACCATCTATCTTCGCTTGTCATGTTGATAAGAAATTAGCTATCACAGTTAAAATGCTTCTTTCAAATCGGAATGGTTCAATTCGTAAGGAATGTGTTGAACGAACTGGCGAATTTTGAATTACTTTATAACGAATTAACCTAAAGAAAACATAGACACTGAAACTGTTCTATATGCCAAGATTTGAACATGATTTACTGCTCTAATACACCTTTCCTGTCAAATAATCGTGCCTAGTGATCCACAGTAACTCTATGTAAAAAAAAACAAATGCTTTACGTGGAAATATTAATTTGTAAGTGGCAGGCACGCTGCGTGGAATGTCAGGCAATACGGACAGAAATCGAATCGACACAATACGGTTATGCTGATTGGTTATGATTTACTTTGAAGTCTCAGATGTGATGAGCTATCCCAGTTGACAAACGGGAATTCCTATCTCGAATATTTTGGAGTCGTATGATATAGACCAGATGTTGGTGTTCGCGCGTTGTCAAATAGTGAAGCTTGGAGAGTACATGTGCCGTTATCACTTGCGGTAATTAGTGTGAATATGTTACATTAAAATTAAAATCCCTTTCAAGACTGCAGAATGCATAACTTGAATTTTGAATTGCCATTTTTAAGGTTAATTCTAATAATGTGGTGCTAAATCAAAACCAATTCACCCCAATTTAATTACGTTTCCTTTCATGTCGTTAACGTGTGTAGCAGGGTAAATTAATTGATAAAACATTTAGAGTAGTTTGAAGCGATGCCACGTACTTGCTTCCTAAGTATTTCGTTCGATTCAACTAAATAATTTGGTCTTTCTCCCACAGATACTTAATTGCACAAATGAATTAATTTGAATAACCAAAGGTTTATTAGCTGCTTGTCTAAGTGTCAGTCGTATAGTAAATTTGTTGTTCTAACCAAGAATACAGTTACCGCAGAACATCCAATTTAGGCAAATTTCCTATATTTTAATTTTAAATTTTCGTGTTCCTAATCTAATGTTTACGCTTCAAATTGGCGTGGTTCTTCCTCCCTTATTTCAGCAATTTCGCGTCAAAATCCACCCGAAATTTTAATGCCCCCACTTGACAATAATATTGTCTTCTTAATCTCCTACGGGACTTTGAAGCAGGGTTAAGTCAAATCGCTAACAAGAATGCTGCACTTGGTGTGATGCAAGTCCGTTTGGCTCACTAAAACCTGTGGAATCTCAATTATTTGGTTTAAATGCGGACGGGCACATCTGATTAGACTGCGACTAAAAATATCATAGAATGCTAATGTGTTTTTTTGAAAAATGCCAAAATAATCAAGAAGAACAGCAATACAAGCGAAAATGGTTTGTCGTTAGATGAAAAATGGATGATTACTGCATTAGCGTTGTTAACAATGTGACAGCACCACAGCAAAAGACAGTTGGCAGTTTAATTGACCTGGTACAGAAGGAAAATTGTGACATGCAGAAGTGAAATTAAAGCGAGCATTTTAGATGTTGGGGTTGCTGCTGAAGTCTCAGTTGATGACTCATTTGTTGACGGAGGCAGAATCATTCGACACTGATTTCGGTAGCATTCGTGTCCTTCAGGGCACTTGCTACAAGTCGGTCCACTTTCGTAAGGTGGCGCGGTAAGTCGAAGTGTGCTAAAAGAAGACGTCCACCACGTGAAGGTTGTGACTCCACCTCATGGAAGGTGGAAAATCAAACGTACTCTGGTTCGTAGATGCACACAATGATATTGAGAGGCACGTCGGGTTCTTCGGAGTTATTGGCCACGCCTTTTACGCATCCTACTAGCGTCGACGCAGCATGCACCATCTAAATACAACGCGACACCAAATTACTGGGAATAAGTAGCAGTGAATCTGTACCGTGCACAAGTATCTGTATCTGTTTTGCAGTGCCACGGACTTGACCCGTCAAATTTGTTGCAACTCATAAGAGACTTTAATGAATCTTAGATCAGAACTGGCAATGGATTGGCTGTGCACCGTGTAACTGCCAGTCCATTGTGGGACTTCCACGGCTTTGAAGTGCATAAATCATGTTGAACACCTAAGATAAGCAGAGACTGATGATTGATGAGACTGCGTTACCGAAACCGCTAAACAATTATCAGCTTGAACTTGAAGATTGATAGCACAAATAATTGGTGAAATGGGAACCAAGTCAATCAGAGCAAGAATGAGCGATCTGACCTACCTGATTGTAATTGTAGCAATCACTTTCACATCGATCTGTATAGGAATAGTAGGCTGCAGGGCGGACATTGCACAAGTCGCTATATTGAAGGGTCTTGTCCTTTGTAAAATAAATAGCCCCAGAATTTGTGTACTTTGGGTCGTGTTGAATGCTGTTGCCGTTGTATCGCTCGAGTGCTTCCACGGCTAATTCCTCCAATTTAGTCGAATAGCTCTAAAGTGAAGCAGTGAAATATCACAACACAAATGCAATCAACGCTTTGCTTTAAATGCACCGTCATGGCTTTACTCGATGCTACTTACATTAAGGTCACGTATGATATAACACCAATTAAATTGATCACTCATTCGTTTGCTAACCAAGCGAAAATCACAATTTATATGAAACACAATATTAAGGTGAAATAACACAACTAGTTTAAGGATGTTTCAATCATCGGCTTTCGTTACTAATGTGATCGATGACGTTGGAAGCATGGAAGAGAAGAATCTTAACATCAAACCAACCTGAGTGTTGGGTTGTAACTTACCAAAAGCTGCATGTTGGTTGCAGTTGGAGTAACTTCTTCACGCAGCTTCGTGTGACAATCCAGAATTACTTGGCGCTCACTCTCCGACGGCACTTCCGCAAACACTTGCACCAACATCGCCAGGAGACAGATTAGCTCACGCATGCTTTCTACATTGCATTGCATGTGATTAAAGAAAACAAATTTACCTGAACTCGGTCCACGAAGAAAACGCCTGACGAAATTGCAAAAATTTGGTGCGACAGCATCACGGTCGGCATTTATATAGTTGCAGATTGCCGTAGCTGAATACGAGGAAGAACCACGTGGCGGTTCTCACGCCTACATTATATCACAACTAATTATGCTAACTGGCGCATAATAAAAACATTCCACAATTTTAGCCTATCTGCTGCACTGGGATAAATGTTTTTCGACATTTGGCCTGAGCATGACGAACCACTTGAAAATGTTCAAGTTGCCAGTGTCAAATCGAAGTGGTTGCCACATTTAATGACAACGCAGATATGTCCCTAAAACTACAAGCAAATGACTTACAAATGAACAACCAAAGCGGATTGATAACTTAATAGACGAGACAATCAGCGTTATACCGTACAGTGTGCAGTTAGATTCCCTTAAATTGAGTTGGGTGTAACGTTTGAATGAAATATTGGCTTTCATTTTCATTCGGATGTAGCTATTGGCAGCTGCGTAGCAACACGCAAAAATTAAGCTAGGCCATAATTTAAAGAGTAGTCAAATTATGGTGTGCAGGTCTTAAGTACACCATTGTTTGCAACAAGCATGATGATTACTTTCCACCTCGTCCCTTCTTCCTTCTGTGTGCCAGCATCTTTAGTCTACTTAAAACAGGACTGATTATCAACCTTTGTTAAAGGAAGAAGCTTGTTCTAGAAATGTCAACCAATGTTTGCGTTTGCTTGAGATCTACAATAATTTTGTATGCACGTCCTGCTAAAGTCAAAACGTGATCATCCACCAAGACGTCGAGAAGACAGCTGTTTTGTGTCCATTTGATGCAATCCGTATAGAGATATCATCTGTGCTGGCTTGTCAGATTGATACGAACTAAGCTATTACAGTCAAAAATGGTGGACTGGGTTATACGAACCGGCAAATTTTTAAATTCATCACTATTACTTGTGAGTGTTGAAGATGACTACCGTCATTTGGTAGTAAATATTTTACGTAGTCGAACTAAAGTAAATGTAGACGCTGAAACTGTTCTACATGAGAAGATTTGAACATGGTCTACTGCTGTAATACGTCTTTCCTGTCAAATGATCTTGCCTAGTGATGTA